TATTCTATTCTATTCTATTCTATTCTATTCTATTCTATTCTATTCTAACTCGCTGCAGGCCAACTTGCTGCAGGACAAGAGTTACAATAATATTGAAGAAATACTGGAAACTTGGGGTTTAGTGGGGTGGGAGAGTGGGGTGGTGGTAGGAGAACTCTAACTCTGAGGGCACAGATGAACCCCCGAGAGACCTCAAGAACTCTCAGGGAGAGTGCTAATGACCAGAGGACTGTAAAGAAATAGGATCCTTCCAACCCTTCCCCCATCCAGTCAGAACTAATCCTTCCGGCCTGAAATTTTTCTATTGGGGATTAATGTGGGAGAATATAACAAAGATACAAAGATACTTAATAATCCATGTCACCACAGCTGCGAGGTTAGCTTCATGCCCAAAGATGGAAAGGTAATGAAATGCCAGATGAGATGCAAGTAATTAGGAAAATTTGGGTGTGCACAGAAATGGATAAATTAACTCTAGAATTAAAAAATTAGACCGAATCTGATTACTATAAAATTCAGGAGAAGTTTTACCACTGGTTGAAAAAAGGAAGGAACAAGAATATCAAAGATGGCTAAAGCTTATGTATATATGTAAATTTGTATTGTTTTCTATATTTATTATTTAATGATATAAGACAAACAAGTGTGTGTCAGGATGTATGCACCACGTTCATTGTTCTTAAATGTCTTTCTTTTTTGTTTGTTTAATAAAATTTATATATATATATATATAAAAGAGAAGTAATCCTTCCATCGCCCCCAACATCCTGTCAGACCCAATGAAGCTTCTTGGATGAGAAGCAAAACATTGTCTTCAAGGGAGAAAAAGCCTAACTCCCACAGGTGGTCCAGAAGAATCTCATGGGGAGGGGGCGGTTGGAAGGATCATGTCCTTGCAGTCTTCTGGTCGTTAGCACTCTCCCTGAGAGCTCTTGAGGTCACTTGAGGGTTTATCTGTGCCCTCTGGGTTAGGGTTCTCATACCACCCCACTAACCGCCCCCCCAAGTGGCCTCAAGAGCTCTCAGGGAGAGTACTAACAACCAGAGGATTGCAAAGAAATACCATCCTTCCAGCCCCATCCTGTCAGAAGTAATCCTTCCATCGGCCCCACCGTTGCCAGAACCGATGAAGTTTCTTGGATGAGAAGCAAAACATCTTCCTCAAAGGGAAAAAAAAAATACGAACGCAGTTGCCTTTTGAAAAAGCACCTTTGAGACTGGATGACTGAGAATCTCTACAGACAATTCCTCTCCTTGTTTTGAGGGCATTTCCCTGCTTGCCTTCCACCCTGGCAGAGGGGTGCTGGCCTGCAGCAGAAGACTCTCCCATGCAAAGATTCCTTCTCCACAGTGTCTTTAACCATCAGAGCCAAACCAGTCTGAAGCCTCCTTGGCTTGTCCTTGGGATGAAACGATGGGTGTAATTTTCTCTTTCAAAGAAAAGTTTCATCACTGGTGGGTAGAGCGCCAGGCAGTCCTTGCTCCAGATGCAGCAACCTTGAAATCTCCAGGTCTCCTCGGGGCTTCAGTCCCAATCGTCTTCCCCTGCTTTAAAGGGAAGGCAGGGGTCCTGTGGTTGCAAGATCTAGGCTAGAATTGCCTTTGGGGAGCATCAAAAGTGGGGCAAGCCTCTGTGTGTGTGTGTGTGAGAGAGAGAGAGAGAGAGAGAGACAGAGACAGAGACAGAGACAGAGAGACACACACACACACAGAGAGACAGAGATGCAGAGAGAGCCACACAGCGAGCCACACGCACACACACAGAGAGAGACAGAGACAAACAGACAGGCAGAGACACACACAGAGAGACAGAGAGAGACAGAGAGACACACACATAGATAGAGAAAGAGAGACAGAGATGCAGAGAGAGCCACACAGCGAGCCACACGCACACACACACACACACACACACACACAGACAGACAGACAGAAACACACACACACAGAAAGAGACAGACAGACACACACACAGAAACCCACTGTCTCAGTGCCGGATTTAAACTGGGATGCATGTGTATGTGTGCATTTTGGGTGTGAACAGGTTTGTCTGGTCTCCCTCCTGCTTGAGCAGCCGGTTGGACTAGAAGACCTCCAAGGTACCTTCCAATTCTTAATGTTTGATGTTAACCTCATAGGCTCAAATGCAAGGGGTTGCTTATCAAACATGTGGATGGCACAGAACGGAGGGTGACAGGTAACGGAAGCAAAATTCCGGGCAATCTCGAGAGGCTTAAGGTGGAGGACTGAAAACAAAACAATGAAACCCCAGACAAACCAATGCAGCCCAGGTGTGAATCAGAGGAGTGAGGTAGCTGCTAAAAAGGCAAATTCATTTTAAAACGGTGTCAATAGAAGGGAAGTTTGCAAATCACGGGGAATTCGCTGGCACTGACCCAGCTGCAGTTCAGGTTCTTGGTTCAAGAGATTCAAAGAAAGCAGATCAGGTGCAGAGGAAAAATACAGGCAGTCCTCAAGTTACGACGGTAATGGAGGCTGTCCGTGACAGTTTTAAGTCGTAACCGGTCCGGTTGTTGAGTGTACAACCAACCCAATTCTATGTCTTTTTCTGCAGCAGTCATTAAGCTGCTGTTGACCAGTGATTGGCTACGGCAACGGTTTTGCTGAAAACCAGAAGGAACTGCCAAATTTTGGCAAATCCGCCATATAATGGTCACCTGGAGCAGGGGTCGCCAACCTTTTGGACCTCAAGGACCACCAAACTCATCATTTTAAATCCCGCAGACCGCTAATATGAATTTTGACTGGCTCCCTGCTGTGAGGAGGAAGGCCAATGACCGGGTACGGAGGGGTGTGAGACAGCCTGGGAGCAAGGGTGGCCTGCTGGGGGTTTGCAAGGGTTTGGGAGGTCCTGTCGCTAAGATTCTGCACAGTTTGGAGAACCTCCAAATTCCACCCCTGGCTGGCCCCGCCCACCCCGCCCCTCCGAGGAGTCCCCAGGTGGCCCGTTTTGGATGCAGGAAAGTGCAGGGTTCAGGGAGGGCAGAAAACAGGCCTCCCCGAAGTTCTGGAAGGCCGGAATTGGGCCTGTTTCTGGCATCCAGAGAGCCTCCGGAGCATGGGGAGGCCATTTTCGCCATCCTGGAGATTCAAGGAAAGCCTCCGGAGCCCGGGGAGGTCAAAAACACCACTCCTGCCACGATGCAGGAGGCCGACTAGGCCACGCCCACCCAGCCACCGGGCAGAGAACCCCTTGGTGAAATTTTTGAAGCCCACCCCTGCCTGGGAATGCCGCCATTTCTCATCTATGGCTTTCTACACAGGTGCAGGAGATTCTGGCTGACCAGCCCGAAGTGAGAGAGAAGATGTTCACCTCCCTCAAGCAGTTTGCCGCCGAGCGGAAGGTGGACTGCTTGGCTCATGCCCTCTCCCTCCTCCTCATCGAGGACTCCCACCGGCTGCTCCTGGACCACATCAGGTAGGGCTGCTTTTTTGCGGGCGTCCTGGGGCTGCAGCCCGCGGAGAGACCCCAGCTTCAGAAAGTTCGCCTGATGGCTCTTCTCTCTCCTTGGCAAGGGGGCAAAATGGTCAAGGTGGTTGATCAAAGCTCTCCACCATACCCCCTGAATGCCCCCTCTCCTGGGCTTGCTCTGCTCCCTTGCACCGGTTGGGTGCCTGTCTCCACAGGTGCTTTCACACCCTCCCCCCACACCCAGGGAGACCTTGTGGTCCAGCTCCTTCTCTGCTAGACTACTATGCTTCTGGGGCTGAACAGGGAGAGGGGCTGGTCCAGGGTCTTCCAAGGAGCACCTACGGCTGAAGATCATGTCTTAGACTTGAAGGCAATTTTAGAATAACAGAGTTGGAAGGGATCTTGTAGGTCATCTAGTCCAACCCCCCTCTGCCCAAGCAGGAGATCCTGCACCATTTCTGACAGATAGGCAGTCCAGTCTCTTCTTGAAAGCCTCCAGTGATGAAGGCCCCACAACTTCTGAAGGCAACTTCTGTTCCATGAGTTGATGGTTCTCACTGTCAGAAAATGTCTCCTTATTTCCTGGTTGAATCTCTCCTTGTTTAGTTTCCATCCATTATGCCTTGTCTCGCCTTTGGGTGCTTTAGAAAATAGTTTGACCCCTTTCTTCTTGTGGCAGCCCCTCAAATACTGGAAGAGTGCTCTCCTGTCTCCCCTAGTCCTTCTCTTCAGTAGAGGGGGCCCCCGTTCTCTTGCGGAGAGTTCGTTGCTCTCTTTCCTACGGCATGGCTTCCCGTGCTTAACAATTCTATTCTTTTTATGAAGTCTTCAATTCATAAAATTCATTGGTCAATTAGCATAATAAAGTATGTATTCAAAGGGACAGAGGTAGGTAGGTTGGTAGGTCAAGGGAGAATCGTTCCTGAGAGCTGTTATCAGGGGTGGCATTCAAATGTTTTAACAACTGGTTCTGTGGGTGCGGCTTAGGTGGTGGGCGTGGCTTGGTGGTCATGTTATTGGCTGGGTGTGGCCAACTCAACATCACTCACATCGAGGCACGCATCTCCTCGCCTGGCCTCTCATGACTGTGGGGATGCTGCAAGAGTCGTAAGAGTGAAAAACGGTCATAAGGCACTTTTTTCAGTGCCACTGTAACTTTGAATGGTCCCTCCACACAAGCAAAGTACCAGGAAAGGAGGGGGAAAAAAACTCCAGAGAAGTTCCAGAGACAGGAAGTCTAGTCCTGCCAAAAATGTAATAAGGGTTAACGGAGAGGCAGTTTCTGTAATCAACCCCAGAATGTTTCCTTCCAGCCTTCCTTACAGGATTAGGCCAGTAATTTCCTCTAACAACCGGTTCTCCGAACTGCTTAGAATGTTAACCGGTTCTAGCGAATAGGTGCGAACCTGTAGAATCCCGCCCCTGGCTGTAATATTCAGAAAGAAGTTTGGGGTCACTGGCTGAGCAAATTTGCTTTGGATGATAGGTTGGTATTACTGGAAAATGGACTCTGGGATGCAGGCTCTCTGCCCCACAGCCTGGAAGATGGGCCAGGCAGGCTGCCTGAATAGGAGGACCTGGAAAATGCAGGGCAGAGCTGGCCCCAGCTATGGTCACCCCAGAATGTGTTGGGGGAAAGCTGGTGGGTGCCTGGAACAGAACTGGGAAGGAGCCTGTCCAGGAAATAGGGAGGGGATGGGAGCAAAGATTATCCAGCAATCTCAGCCCCCAGGCTGGCCCGCTGCAGACCCTCCTTGCCAGCTGTAATCTCCCTTAATAACAGCCCCTCCCCTTTCCTGCAGCTGACTGGATGTTCAGGTCAGAGAATTCCAGACAGGAAGGTGGACTGTCTCGCCCATCCATTCTAAAGATAGACAGGCTGTGACGGAGAAGGAGAAATGTGTATGGTTCATTTCAGTCCCAGGATTCAAATTTCTAGGTTCTATCATATCACAAGACCTAAAATGGAGACCTAACATCAAAAACATCATCAAAAAAGCACAACCAAGAATGTTCTTTCTGCACCAACGCAGGAAGCTCAAACTGCCCAAGGAGCTGCTGATCCAGTTCTACAGAGGAACTGTTGAGTCTGTCATCTGCACCTCTATAACTGTCTGGTTTGGTTCTGCAACCCAACGGGACAGACACAGACTCCAGAGAGTAATTAGGACTGCAGAAAAAACAATTACTACCAACCTGCCTTCAATCGAGGACCTGTATCCTGCACGAGTCAAACAGAGGGCTGTGAAAATATCTACAGACCCCTCACATCCTGGACATAAACTGTTTCAATTCCTTCTCTCAAAACGACTCTTTAGAGACCTGCACACCAGAACAACTAGATGCAAGAACAGTTTCCCCCCGAACGCCATCACTCTGCTAAACAAATAATTCCCTCAGCACTGTCCAACTATTTACAAAGTCTGCACTACTATTACTTATTAATCTTCCCATCACTCCTGATCACCCATCCCCTCCCACTTGTGACTGTAGGACTGTAACTTTGTCACTTGTATCCTTATGATTTATATTGACTGTTTCCTAGTATGATTTGATTGCTTATTGTGCCCTCTGACGCTCATTAAGTGTTGCATCTGATGATTCTTGACTCTTGACGAATGTATCTTTTCTTTTATGTACACTGAGAGCATTTGCACCAAGACAAATTCCTTGGGTGTCCAATCACACTTGCCCAGTAAAGAATTCTGTTCAGTTCAGTTCTCAGGAGCTCCTGCCTGTCGGGCTTGTGCAGAGAAGGCTTTCAGCCCCGTTTTCACGACAGGCAAACCACAGAACCAAAGACCACGAGGGGCTCTTGAACCTCCAGTGCCCCCCATGCACTCAACCTGCCTCGTTTCCACCCATCAGTGGGAAGCAGCTTTGTGGTGACAGAAAGGGTGAAGAGAAGCATGGGGTCTGGGGGAGCGCCAGATTAACAGATTAAAAAATTTGGAAGGGAACTTGTAGGGCATCTAGCCCAAGTAGGAGACCCTACAACATTTCTGACTGATGGCAACCCAGTCTCTTCCTGAAAGCTTCCAGTCATGAAGCTCCCACCACTTTAATTAATTCAGAATAGAGCTGGAAGGGACCTTGGAGATCATCTAGTCCAACTCCCCCATCCAAGCAGGAGACCCTTCACCATTTCTGACAGATGGCAGTCCAGTCTCTTCTTGAAAGCCTCAAATGACCCCCACAGCGCCTGACCTCGAGCCAGCCCAGTCAGACATGCGTGTGACTGCTGGAAAAAGACGTCTTTGCAGTTCCAAAACTGGGGAGGGTATCTAGAGGGGCAAAGCCCCCGCAACATCCCCAGACCAGGCTGTGAAAACCCCCACAGAGCAGTGACCTAAAGGGGCCCAGAAGCCTGGCCTGTAGGCACTGACCCCTTTGGGCTTCCTTGGGGATAGAATCCCTGGTCCCAAGAGAAGTCTTTCTTAAGGACAAGCAGCCCACCTCCGCATTAGTCCCTCCCCCCCACCCATTGGTGGGATTGAAGATTTTTTAGTACTGGTTCTGTAGGTGTGGCTTGGTGGGTGTGGCAGGGGAAGGATACTGCAAAATCCCCATTCCCTCCCCACCCCACTAACCTGCTTTCCAGCTCCATTCTCCTGTCCAGGGCAACCAAAGAAAACCCAGCTGACCAGCTGGGACTCGGGAGGCGGAGAAGAGATGGAGTTGGCGGGGTCAATCAGAGGTGGGATTTGCTGGTTCTCCAAACTACTCAAAATTTCCGCTCCTGGTTCTCCAGAACTGGTTAGAACCTGCCGAATCCCGCCTCTGACCCCGCCTTTCTTCAAGGTTCTTGCAGGGAGGAGGGGATTTTCCTCCTTGGGGCAGTTATTCGGGTCCCAGGGAGGAGGGGAACCTGGGGTTGCTCCGGCCATTTGGAAGCAGAGCCGTATTCCTGCACTTGACAGTCAGGCAGTGATATTTCCAGGGAGCCCAATCCACGTGTGTTCATCAGAAGAGGACTTATCTGCATGGCGGGGCATCCAAACAGCTGACAGTTAGGGGTATTTGCAAGATGGCAGGCAAACAAGTCAAGATGGCAGCCGTGTCACAGCAATTGAAGCTCCACCCGTTTTTCGCCCTCTCCTGGCCACCATCTTGGCTTTTCGGCTGAACCCTGTGGATATATATGTCTGGCTGAAAAGGTGCTGCCAACGGTTGCCCAAAGAGTTGGACAGAGCTTGCCAGTAGCTCTTCAGGATCACGAGGGATGAGTGGACCTTCCCATCAGCCGAAGAAGCCCCTGGAGATGGGTAGATTGGTACAAGTTGAATGAAACCGAGACGGACCTATTTCCAGGGGGTGGGATTCTACCGGTTCAGACTGGTTCAGCCGAACCCCTTGCTCTGAAAATCAGCTGGCAGCAAACTGGTTCAGTGTGACTATCATGTGGGCCTGCCTGTCCGCCCCTGTACTTTACCTAACTATATCTTCTCAGCAGATGAGCGTGGCACAGCGGATTGCCACTTCTCAGCTGCGTTACTCAAGTGCTGTGCAAGTGCGCACAGCATGCGTCAGGTGCAGGCCAGAGGTGGGATTCAGCAGGTTCTGACCAGTTCTGGAGAACCGGTACCGGAAATTTTGAGTAGTTCAGAGAACCAGCAAATACCACCTCTGACTGGCCCCGCCAACCCCATCCCTTCTCCGCCTCCCGAGTCCCAGCTGGTCAGCTGGGTCTTCTTTGGTTGCTCTGCCAAGGAGAACGGAGCTGAAAAGCAGGTTAGTGGGGTGGGGAGGGAATGGAGATTTTACAGTATCCATCCCCTGCCCCACCCACCAAGCCATGCCCACAGAACCGATAGTAAAAAATTTGAATCCCACCACTGAACAAAAGTTTCATTAACTTCAGTTACACGGCCTCCATATTTGCTCCAAACACTCCATTAAGTGGTCATGCTAAAAAATGGAAGCTTTCAGTTTGTTGACCAGGTACTAAAAGAGCTTTCACTTGTTTGAAGACCTTTGCGGGCCAAGCTGAATAGACATGACGTTGG